ATATATATATATATATTGGTTAATTTTCCAAATACAACTAAGAGAAAAAAGTCTGAAAAAAGAACTTAATTATATATATATATATATATATATATATATATATATATAAGTTTTTATATACTTATATGCTTATATATATATATATATCTACACATATATATCTATATATATATACATATGTATATGTGAGCGTCTGTACACACACACACACACACACATATATATATATATATATATATATATATATATATATATATATATGTATACAAGTACTTTCCTGTTGTCCAAATATTTTATCCCCGAAGGGAAATGAGGGTGAGAAAAAAGCCATCTTATCTTCAATTATGGTCATGATTTATTCCATCTGTCCACAAAAAGGCCAGACAAAGGTGAGAACACTATGGAAACCATTGGAGGCCATTTTATTTTTCAGCTTTCTTCTATACTCGGCTATTTTGATTTTGACTTCATTCTTTTGTACACACAAAAGAATAATCATAACTGGTGATGGATCACTAAGAAAAAGATGATGGCTTCACAAAAGGGAACTCCTGCCTCTCATTCTCCATTTTGCAGACAAAACAAAATACAAACAAACACTAAAACCGCAAAATCTTTTCTTTTCTTTTTTTTTTTCCTTTATTTCAAAATCAAGATGGATTCCAAGAAATACTAAATATACATCGCATTCTAGTTTTCATAACAGTATCAAGAAGTATATTTTTTTCAGATTCCGGTTACTGGACACATACGAGGAGGTACAGAAAATTTCTCAGCAAGCACATTTTCAAAAAATCTGAATATATGACAAATTAGTTTGGGCTGTGCTGAAAAAATTTCACCATGGATTATTATTTTAATATTTATGTAGCTGTTTGTAATTTATATTAGCTGGTTCAGGGGGTAAGGGAAAATTTTGTGGAGTCTGAATAAAGCCAATTCCATATTAAGAAAAGTTAAATTTATTTGTCTAGATCATTACCATCATTTCCATTTTGAAGTGTAAATACGAACGGTTTTATTCCTTAAAAAAAAAAAAAAAAAACTTACTGAAACTAATATATCCAACTAACTGCTCACCCAAAATGTGGGTGAGATATTGAAATCAAATTCCCATTTATTTTATATATTTTAATTTCAAAATTTCTTACCTCTTTTCATATCTTTCCAATACAAGCAAAAACATATTTGAACTGCCAGGTAAGCACCTAGCAGTTTAAATATGTTTCTGCAATGTATTTTATCATTTTTAAATAAATCCACTGAGAATATTTTTCCCTTTGATATAAAGAAAATTTGAAATTGGACAAGAGAATACCTTCTATCCAAAATATAGGAGGAGAAAGCCTGTTGATGAAGGTCACATCGGCAAGATCAAAATAAGACAATATTAAGCAAGAAATCACCAATACATACAGTCAATACATATTTCTTGCGACAATTCAACTATCAGATCAATGTTGAAATCTGCTCATCAATTCTTTCAATCAAGTACGTATCAAAGGTGTCAGTTCAAGCTATTTTTGCATCTCCATTGAAATTTTTCTCCCTTTGATTTAAATTAAATTTGAATTTGAACAAAGGAATGACTCCTATCAAAAATATAAAGGAGAAAGCCAGAAGATGGAGGTCACATCGGCAAGATCATTGAGTAATAGTGAAATGCCACTCTGTAGTTCACTGTTACTAACAAGCAAGGATTATTTTCTCCTGATGATGGTTATGCTGGCCGAAACTAGTTGAGGAACCTAACTGAAATAATAAAACAAAACGAAACACACACACACACACACACACACACACACACACACACACACACACACACACACACACACACACACACATATACGACTCAGTGTGCCTAAAAATTTAAAAATAAACATTTTTAAATATTTTTTTTATTATACAATATCTATCTATCTATCTATCTATCTATATATATATATATATATATATATATATATACCGGACGTCTGATGAGCTGATGAATATATATATATATATATATATATATATATGAAGAAAATATACGAAAAAAAACAAACAAAGTCCTAAGATGCAATTATGCTGTTTTAATGTTAATATAATGTCAACGTCGGACGTTTCGGTCTAATAGACCATCTTCAGGACATATTCTGTTAGGATTGGTCTTGCTCTTATGTCCATCGTATTTTTTATATTGAATTGAATATGGTCTAATGTTAATTATGTTTTATGAATATGTCCTGAAGATGGTCTATTAGGACCGAAACGTCCGACGTTGACATTATATTAACATTAAAACAGCATAATTGCATATTAGGATTTTTGTTTGTTTTTTCCGTATATTTTTCTCCATACGGTCGGATCTATATCCATATATTTGCTTGTATATATATATATATATATATATATATATATATATATATATATATATATATATATATATATATGATAAATGCGAATGGCAGTGTCATTGTGTCAAACTTTTCATTTTACTCCTAGACGCCTTAGCCCAATATATTATATCATTTTGGGATCAGGCCGACTCTCTGAGTAAATTAAAAACATCCCGGACTGGATCCGGACCCACAATCCTGAAATTTTCGATTCCCAAGTTTTCATTAATGCGATTGTTTTCGGATTGCGCCATCTTGTCTGATAAAATAATTAAAGGGACACAGCTCTCTAAATTTCAGTAGCTCATGTTCAAATAGAAATATTACAGGTTTTAAAAATAATATTGTCCGTGTTTTTCCTAGAGTCCAACGTAATCAGACCATTTTGGAATCAGGCCGAGTCAGTGGACCATTGTTTTCGGTGATTTTTTACGTGATATTCTTACAAGGAATTTTTTATACCTTGGAAATAAATTTGAGAATTAATTGCAAAATTCATCAAAAGTCACCCATGATATAAAAAATAATTGTTCGTGCACAAATTAAGGACCTGCGTACATCAAACTGTCTTTAAATTAAGTACCGGCATAAGAATTATTGTTGAACTTTTAAAAGGTAAGCTTAAATATTAACGCAATACTTAAATGCAATGATCAATTTTTAGTTCTTCTGTAGTTCATTGTTGCCTATCGCATCTACTTCTCCCTATTTATTGTGATGAAAGCTCAATCAAGAGCCCTCCATAAGAGTTAGCTTAAATGACGCCCGATAGGAATTCTTTTAAGCTAACATATATATGTATATATTACGGCTGTATTGTCTTGAGAGGCGCGATGTTTCGAAGCCAGACTCTGGAATTTTAGATCTGAACTTCCCATGGGTCTGGAGAGAAGGGAGGTATTGTTTCCTCCATCTATATTTGAAGTTAGTTTCAACTCGAAATTCTTAGATTTGGGGAGAGGGTTGCTGACTTTCTGTGTAAAAAGTACAGCAAGCATCAGTTTAAGAGTTTATCAGAATACTAGATCTATGACTGGTATGGTGTCTGCTTACCCGCAATGCTTAGAATTGGGATCTGCTTTCTTTTGTCCGAGAGACTGGTCTGGGATGGGGTGCAGTATTATGCTCCTCAAAACACTCTGTGTACCGGGATTAATCCTTACAGCCTTTTGTCGTGTATAAGGTGGATGTGGTATACCTAAAGAAAGTGTGTCCTCATGAATTGCACAACATTTGTGTAGGGTGTGAGGTGCAACAAGTGTCAGTGTGATGTGTGAGGTATCATGTATAAGAGACATTGATGCTCAAGGTACTCAACCCGATTATCGTGCTGCTTTGAGTTGGTGTGGATCTTAGGAGATGATTTGGTGTTGTCTACCGATAATATTCCTTTGTACTGCTTCAAAGAACTCTTTTCCGTATGATGTAAGGGGTTGGAATTAGATCTTTCATAATCCTAATTCGTTGTCCGATAAAGCCTGCGAGGATAGAAAAGAGAAGGAAAAGGGACATGGTGTTGACGCTACTGCCCAGAAACAACTGTTTCTCTTGGAGACTGAAGAGAAATTTTTGGACTTTGATCCTTTCAGCTTTACCCAGTACAATGGCATCGAAAACCTTCATCTCCTTAAGCAGACTTGAATGGTGTAAAGATATTGCAAGACACACATAACTTGGGAGCATTCTTGTTAGGCTTCCTTGAGAAGTATTCTACTTGTTTGTAAAGTGAACATTCAGTCATCATAAGGAAGACATAGCCTCTTTTGTGTCCGTCTTGCATCATCCTCAGCTCTCTTTCTAAATGATTCCGATAAACAGCCAAGACTCTCTTGGAACGTTTCATGAACTCCATGCTGTGCCACTCTATGAGGAGATCTATTTGTTCCTTATGTCTGAAGACTGATCCTTTTGTACAACTCCGAAAAGAACACCTCACAGCCTTATAGCTCTCAGGTCGATTGTGGATCCAGTACTACAACCGACCTAAGAACTACTTCCCAACGAGCAAGATATTCGATAAAAACCGTATGCATCCTTTGTTTCTCTTTCATGCTCACTCACTGTTGAAATGTGAAAAATGTTTCAATGTTTGGATCCAGCTGTATATGCGGAGACGTTATGTCAATCAAATGGTGGATAGCGATTGTCTGATCGTTCAACTACCCCAATGTGTGAGGTAGGCGATGGGTAGATGATAACAGGGGGCACGTTACTGAATTCACTTTGGTTTCTTGATCCAAGAGAAGGGTTCGGGTGTCACATTTAAACAGACCTTCCCAGTGTCTCTGGTAAATTTCTTGGTTACAAGACATCTTGGGCCCCGCGGTTTAAGCTTTTGGTTGGTTTGCTTGGTCTGCTAAGTATTCTCTGATGCATGGGCCAGAGTCAGCCCGTATTTTGGCTGGTTGCAGTTGAGTCTCTCACTTAAACCCCCAGCAGCTGCGTTCAGAGACTGCTTTAATTATGATGGCAGCCGTTTTCTTCTCAATCCGTAGCCTTTCTAATTCTATCCGGATTTTTAATTAGTTTTCGGCGAACAAGAGGTGTAGCCAGGATACCACGGTCTTTGCTTAGGCTGCAACAGCGGCGACGGTAGAAGCTCCCATCGAAGTGGTAGGGGGTATGAGACCTTGGCCGAAAAGACGAGTTATTTGTCATTTGTCATCGTCAAATAAAGGAAAGGAAGAAAGGGGTAAAGAAAGTTGCCTTTTCAGAAGAAAAAAAAAAACGGACGAGGATTGCTATATGTTAGCAGTCTCCGTAAACCGTTTCATTCCTGTAAATCTGTAACTCCGCTAGGAACTGTGTGGTACGCTGCCGTAGTTGTCAATTTTTTTTCTGTGGCATTGGCAAAGGTCCGTAGTCCCGGTAGTTGGTTGAGAAGGACGTGAATTCGATAAGCAACGGCCACATCATCATTTTACTCTACTGCCACCGAGAGTATGCGTCCATGTCGTCCACGTGCGCAACCTAGAAGACAGTCAGGTAAAAAAAAAAAATCAGGCAGTCAAAACCCTGGAGAAGACGAAATTGCGGACATAGACAAGTTTATTGATAACCAAAAGCTTGGATAGAAATAAATACATATAAATAAAACTAGTTAGCCTGAAAATACAGTCAAACAAGGCTGACTAGAAATAATAAAGGCAGCCAGAGGCTTAAACATAAAACTGAGTCCATTTGTCTAATTGTTATACTAGAACATTACCTATTATATTATTAATAGACTCTCCCACACTTAAGTAGTAGTAGTAGTAGTAGCGGTCGACAGTTGGGCTCAGTGGAGTTGAGTGAGTCAGTCGATGTCGGACATTGAAGTATCAACCATCACAAGTAGATTGCTGCGTTGTTAACTATTATTTCAAGTTCCTAACGTTTTGTACGTCGAACCTAATTTAGAACGACTTAGTGAAATACAATCCTCCACTGTGAAAACTACTTTACAACACTAATAAATAGGTAAAAGAGGAAAGCAATTACTTCAAATATATACATGAATACGTATAAAGTTTGCTAAGAGAATATATTACAGTGTTGCAGTGTATGAGGACACTTATTGAAAGGATTTCACACGGAGAGATACAAACGTAAAATAATCGTAGGAAATAAGGCTGCATTCGAGAAATGTTTAAATAATAATAATAATAATAATAATAATCCAGATACCGCTATTCGTCATCGCGCTCAGGAAATGAACCTCTCCACAACAACGTTACATCGTTTCCAATTGCACTTTCGGTTGATCTAATATGCTGACCAAAAAATCGCGAAGTGCGCGAAATGAATTTCTCTTTGAACGTCCATTTTCGTAATAGGCTTCGATAACTTTAACACGTTGTTTTATTGTTAATTTTTCCATGTTTGAAAATGCCAAACACTTAAGTTGTTAAATCTGAAAGAAAAAGAAGAAAAAAAAAATCATTAGACGTTTAAACTTAATTCACACTTAAATTGGTCCAAATTATTGGAACACCCTATACATATCCAAATTATTGGAACGCCCTATACAAGACGGGGAACGGTGGAGTAATGGATAGCGGCTTGGATTGAGGAAGCGGAGAGCCGAGTTCGAATTCCAGTCGAATCCATTACATCATCGATTTATAGCTTTTGTTAACTTTTTTTTTTGTATGTGCTAACACCCTTGGGAAAGGTGCGAATCCTCTTTCTTCTTCCTCCAGCTATGTGTAAATAGCAGGACAGATTGGGTTCTATAGCCTTGGATGGCAACTCCTCTAGGAGAAGGAAAACTCGGAATTCAAATCTGCTCTTAGAGGAGGGTGAATGGAATCTCTCTGAGCCTTGGTTGGCAATCCATTTAGTGTTGGTGTCACGATAAAAACACCCTTGATAGCACTAGCGAAGCATCAAGAATTCGGCTATTTGACGAGATTATGAACTACACCAATCAAAGTATTGGTGAGTTCAATCTCGGCTGAGGCCGCAAGATGATGATGATACATGGATACTTATAAAGTTTGCTACGAGAATGCATTCCAGTGTTGCAGTGAGTTCGCAGAAAAGAAAGTTACATTTTGAAATAGTGTATAAGGACACGTATTGAAAGGATTTTACACGGAGAGATACAAACGTAAAATAAACGTTTGAAATAAAGTTACATTCAACAAATATTTAAAGAATAACACGGAAAGAAAATAGACAAATGTAAGAAGGAAGTTAACAAAAGCTATAAATCGATGATGTTTAAATTGGGGATCAAATCGGGAGGATAAAACTACCAACCACATGTAATGTCTTTATTTTATCGTTACCTCATGCTAAGGGCCACCGGAAATGATCAAAACGGTGACCAACCTAAAAATTACCTAACCTAAACAAAGGGACAAACAAAGGGGAAACACACAATACAGTTTTTGCGTTGTGTATAAGAAACCCTCCCAGCTTGCTGTTATACGCCACAACTAATCAAGGGGACACGAGGAATAGGGACTGTTCCTGAAACAGGCCTGGGAGAAGGGAATTAGTACATTCCTTTCTCTTTTTGAAAATTTTAACCGTGCCCTGGTACATTCTTTTCCCGCCTCTCTTAGGAACGACTTGTGATCAGTTTCTATTCCACTTTTACCCTTTTGGTTACCAATAAACCTGCCGATATACGAAACTTCGTCTTCTTCAGAGTTTTGATTGTCTTAACGTATTTATCTGACTGTCTTCGAGACTGCGCATGCATACGACACGGACGCGTACTCGTGGGCAGTACAATATATATATATATATATATATATATATATATATATATATATATATATATATATATATATAAAGTTGCTAATTAAAAGAATAATAATGTAATTTTAAGAAAGTATTTATTTATTTGTATATATATTTGATATTTCAGATTGGCCTCAATCTTTCTTCAGAAATAACTGTTTGTGTACAAGTAGCGTCCGTCGCGAGATGCGGAAGTCACGTGATATGGAACGAATATTCCTAACGTAAATCTAACTGTAATAATATCTTAGATGTTGTTTAAAAAAATAAAAATAAATAAATAAAATAAGAAATAAAAAATATTAACTATATCTAAAAAATGTTTAACTATTGAAATATTTATACAGATTTAAAATACCCAAGTCTTTGTTTAAACCTAGTTTTTATATATATATATATATATATATATATATATATATATATATATATATATAATCAACGACGAAATTATTCATATACCCATCGATTTTCAATATTTTTATCCATTTCGCAGAATCTAATGACCATATGATGCCATTTTTTATATCTTAACAGGCACAAAAAACGAATATAAAAGACAAATGTCAAACCAATAGTTTAAATGCAACAAATTTGACAGACGAATTAGACAAAATAGGAAAAGACAAAATTATTCGTACAGTGGTAAATATCGTTTTAAATTGATTGATTCGTGTAAGTATAAGGGATTTATATAATTATATTAACAGTGGAGACTTCTAGTCTATTTATTCAGTAGAATATTTCTGATAATTCTAGCAAAGAACATCACGTGGTGCATAGAGTGTCACCGTTGTTATTCTTTACAATGGGGAAGACATACGAGTTTGACGTGAGATAGACAATTGTTAACTTCCACAAGACAGGAAATCGTTACAGCACTATTTCAAACCGGTCAGCTATCCCTGGATCTATGTTACAGTCCTTTATAAAGAAGTTTAAACAGTTTGGCACGACAGAGAATTTGCACAGAGTAATTGCCACCGAGAACCGCACGAAAACTGTGTCGCGAGATTTAAAAAATCCGAATATTTCTTTTGAAAGACATCGCTAAAAGTTTGTATACGATGGGTATTATCGTAAGTATTTGCACAATACAATGTTGTTCAAATATAAATGGGTTGTATGGAAACCGACTACGACGAACCCCTCTTCAAAAACAATGTCACATTGTTGCTGGGTTTAATTTTGACAAAACGTTCTGGGACAAGGACATTTCTTTTGGGAACAAGGACTATGGAGCGATGAAACAAAAAATGAGCCTTTTGGACATAATGATGTGCAGATTTGGCGCAGGAAAGGTGAGGCTTTCCTCCCAGAGAACACGGTGGTAACATTCACACATAGAAGCGGCTCGATGATGTTTTTGTGTTGTTTTTCTCAAGGGTGACTGAACAATTAATTGCAAGAAGACGAATAATGAAATCTGCAGACGATATCGAAATGTTGGATTAAAATCTACAATTATCAGGGCAAAATCTTTATCTGGATTTATTTTCCAGCAAGATAATGATTCCAAACATATGTCTAAATCAGTGGCTGCATGGTTTCAGAAAAAGAAGATTAAAGTTCTGCCATGACATTCAATGCGTCCTGAATGGAATCCTATTGAAAATCTATGGCAAGAATTGGATGTTCGTAAAATTATTGGTCACCAAAAACATTCAATAATTAGAACGTGTAACCATTGAAAAATGGAAGAAAATCCAAGAAAATATTTGTTCAAATCTCATCAAAACTTTAGAAAACGATTGCAGCAAGTTATAAAGATGAGAGGCCATTCTATTCACAACAATAGTGTGAATATTCTTCAACTATTTCTATTTTTTGTGCGAATAATTTTGTCTTTTCCTATTTTGCATAATTAATCTGTCAAATTTGTTGTATTTAACCTATTGTTCTGAAAAATGAGTTTTATATTTCTTTTTTTACTTATGAACATATCAAAAAATAACCTGGCACCATATGAACATTGCATGCTGAAAAATAGCTAAAAATATTCAAAATTGATGGGTGTATGAATAATTTCGTCATTGATTTTATATGTCTGCAAATCCTTTCTTTATGAATTATTAAGATTAAAGATAGTTTACAGGAGATAGCGCTGTGTTGACTTGTAGACTCGATCCATTGCTTGTGGTGCTACGTATCCTGTCTCAGCAACGCTATGACAAACCGCAGCAAAGTTTTGGAAACGTAATTTGATACACCCGTGCAGTCTCGCGTCCATTACCATTCACGTGGCGGTATATAAAAAATATCATAACTGCCTGCTCACTATATGAATATCCTGCCATTGTTAAACGGAACACTTCTCAGTTAACAAAATACAATGCACGTTAAAGACAGACAAGTTACAAATGTACACGAATGACAAATGTAACGTAGTCTAC